TTTTTGTATGTCTGAAAAATATGTGGTAAAACAACAAAAAGGGTCAAGAATGAATAGATGGTACAGTAAATGAATCTGAACTGAATACAGAATATAGAAATGAATGAACAGTATGAGAGAGTGAATGAATGAGGATCAAATTGCAAAACAAATATATAAGGGATCCTTGGTGCTCTCTTTTTTGTCATTTTCTTGCAGATGTTTCATGACCCAGACTAGGTAATATCATCAGTGTTGGACTGCTAGCAGTAATGTTACCTACTTTGGGTAATGAAACATCTGCAAGAAAAATATATTCTACATGAACACTGACAAATCCCCTTCCACTTAACTCATCCATTCATTATCCTTATATATTTGCAAATATAGTAGAACCTCTGGTCACGACCATAATTCATTCCATAACTTTGGTCGCAACCCGATTTAGTTGTGACCTGAACCTAATTTTTGAAATTTGATGCTTATAAAAAAAATGGCACTGAAAGGCTGCAGAAAAATAATTTGAATTTTTGGTCGGAACCCGATTTGGTCGTGGTCAGAAACATTTGTGACCAGAGGCCCTACTGTATATACTTGTACCAATAAAGGAGAATATTTGTACTAGGGTTGAAATGAGGAGTTCTTGGTGCTCTCTGAGCTTGTTTGTTTTATTAATCTGAAAAACATTTAGGAATATTTGGGTATCCTTCAAAATACGTATCAATGCAGCGGTCTGCAGAGATCTACAGTATGAAGCAATTGATTTCTAGCTAAAAGAAAATAAAGATGCAGGATATTTTTTTCCTATTGCCTCTACATCTTTTAGGGCAAGATGGAACTCTCCATCTTAAAAAGCTAAAAAGAAAATAGAAGGACAAACCAGAGCTAATATGCAAAGTTTTGTTTTTTCTGCATTTTCATTACTCAAAATAATCTTATAGATGGGACTATTGTGGAGTAAGCTACTCTTCTACGGGCAGGGATATCAATACCTTGTAGAAGGCTATAGTATTTCCAAATATAGCCTGCAAAAGTATAAATATTACAGCATATATTAATAACTTCAGACTAATATCGATGTTTTCATTTTATTATCCTTTGAAAGTGATAATTTCCATTCTGCTTTTAGCATTTACTCTTTTTGGAAGAGAATGACATGAAATATATGTGTTAAATTAGTCAGATCCAATTTATTTTCATGTTAGAATAGCCAGAGGAATAACTATTAAAAACGCAGGAGTTTATATATTGATTTGTTTGTTCATAGAATTTATATAGCTGTTAATCCTATAACTCTAATACAACTCTTAATACAAAGCATAACAATGTTATAGCAAAGCGTACATATGTATATCAGGCTTTGTTAATAAACTGGCCTTAACACTTGGGGGGCATCTCAAGGGGAATGCTATTTCATAAAATAAGCACCAGCAAATTGGTGTCAACAAGCCAATTACTGGATGGATGGATGGATGGATGGATGGATTTCCTTTTTAGAAATTGTACTGCAGCAACATATGAAGGTCTGGTGATTGAATATACCTTAATTTACTGGATTTTCCAAATGCATCGTGCCATATGTCATGATTTCAAAGCTGAATGGCTGGACTCCATAAAGATTTATAGCAACTTACCTACAAATTAAAAATATAGTACAAGGCAAATATAAGTAAAACATCTATAATTAAGCAAATGAAAGAAAAGACAACTAGAACCATTGAAGATTTATATGTCTGGGGAATGGAGGTCAGAATATTAGTTGGAGCCTATGAGATTAATTGTGCCAGATTGGCTTTTATCTTGGTTATGAGATGGATGGATGGATGGTTTTAAATTTGTTAGCCACTCAGACTCACAATGGACATTCATGAACATTTTCAGTCATTTCGTGGATGGAATAGCATCCAGTCTGAATTCAGGGAAAACTTTATTGGGAGTTTTTCTGGGCTTTTTTTTTTTGCTCATGAGTTTTAGATTAAATCTGATTTATTTGGGTTTTGACCTGGGAAAATCATTCCTGGAAAAATTCTACTTTTCACATTTGAAGTATTGGGAGCCTTGTTTGTTTAGGACACTTGCCTCAGTGGTATGATAAAGCTGATGTTTGACATGTTATCCAATACTTGATTGGGTTTCACTCTACCTCAAATATAGAGAAGCACAGCAAAAACTTTGAAGAAGAAATGCAAGAGCAGTTGAATAAATACCAGTAAGCCCTGAACGAGAAAGTGATTTGATTGGGGGTGGTGGTTTGAGGGTATGAAAGGGAAGATAGAGAAATTCTGAAAGGCTTTCAAAATTCTGGTATTATACCTTGTATAGTCCTCATGAAATACCTTTTTTTCTTAAGTACTTGGTCTAACTTGACAAGTTGACATCAATAACACCTGGTGTGATCGCGATCTATTTTTCTGCCGAAGGTCTGGAATCCATCATCTTCTGTACCCTCTCTCCCACGCTCTGTGGTCATAAGACTCAAGATAGACTTATTCAAAGACGTGGCCAAACAATTGGGCCATGAATTATTCATACTGCTTTAGCGCAATGTCTTAATATCAGATTATGTTGGCTCCTACTTTAGCAGTATGTGTGTTCTTTCTATCTTGTGGGCAAAGTCTTGAAATTACTTCTGGTACAGTTCAGTTCAATCCTAACCAGGAGTTCACCATGATCTTTAATACTAAGAATTAGATTGCTTGTTAGAAGTCAGTGTTCTCTTTAACTTCTCCATTTCACAGACACAGAGGTGAATGTCTCTTGTCTTCTCGTTCTCTCTGGCTGTTAAATTTAAATCTTTCTACTTCTCCCTGCTGAAAATTTTTCTCTACTCTCTCTGGCATTCCACCTCTTTTTTTTAAATAAAGCATTTCATATACATAGGAGATGAGGGCTGGTGAGTGGGGAATCTAATCTGGCTTGGCCTACACAACAGGAAGAGCATCTGTGCTAGGTGAAAATTCTGCTTCAAGCAGAAGGTATCTACTGTATTTTACTTACCACTGCCCTGGTAAGAAGGACAGTGTGTTCTTGAAAACAAATTACTACAGTGTATTTTTTCTTTCTTTGAATATATTTCTTATTATATATAAAAATATTTTAATAAAAAACTAAAGAAAAATTACCAACAGCTCCTTGCTTGATTTCTTTCATTCTGGACCTTATGGATACTTAGAGCAAGTGAAGAATGTTGCTGGAGTAATTCAGCTAGTTTCTGAAGAATGAATCTTATAGCAATACAGAACTGAAGCAAAATAAATGTAGAGCAAGTTACAACTTGCTATGCAGTACTTACTTAGTATCCACATCACTTCTAAAAGAGTTTTTCAGATGTTTTGTTCATCATTATTTGGCATAAAACTTTTATTTTAGAAACTAAACAATTAAAAGACAATCAGACATACAGGGCCCATCAGCCACTCTAACCTAAGGCCTGGAGAAAAGGCCAAGTTTTCGAACTCTTGAACATGTCCTGAGGAAGGGTCAGTTATATTTGGGGGAGGGGGCAGAGCAGGATGCTGTTCCAAAAGAGAATGCTTCAACCCACTTCCCAGGTCCCATCAGGTGACATTGTTAAATAGATGTAAAGGTATTAATTCAAATGATTTAAAGGTAATAACCAAAAGCACAATTATCTCTCCCTGAAACAATTATGTTTTAAACCTCTAAGAAAACAATAACCAGCACCCTAAATTGCAGCCAGAGGCCTGCTGGTGTTTGAAACATAAAAATATTTATATATTCTCAAAAATTTTGCACTTTTGGTAAGACGGTTCAAAGTAAGATAAGATTGTTGTATGTTTATGAGTACAATTTAGCATTTAGTATATAATTTAGTATATGTTACTCTCAATGGCTGATATTCTGAATCACAGAGCTGAAAGAATAAAAGCCAGACAAATATTCTGCAAATTTCAAGTAATTTGGAAAACATGGCAAAGATTGGAGTGAAAGCACAATAGAGTTAAGATAGAAAATGGAATAAAAAGCACAATTATCTCCCTATAAGAGGACTGTGAAACAAATATATTTGTCTTTTAAATGTTTAAGAAAAAGAAAACATTTCAAGGAAAAAGAAGATGCTCTTTAAAATATAGGAAACAAAACTCAGAAGCAACACTGGTAACAAATCTATTAAAAATGGTTATGGACCTTGAGGACTTATATTTAAAAAACACTTCCATTTTTTAAGATTAAAAGGTTCAGAGCATAGTGAGAGACAACTCTTTGAATCATAAATGTATGCATGTGATCACTTTCAGGGATAGTGCCTGGTGATATGCATCCCAGGCATTGGTTGAAGCCCATACATACAAAGCTGGCCAGTAGAATTTATTGGATTTCGTGCTCTTCACTATTCCTCTTCTTGCAAAGGATCTCATACGTTCCCAGCTCTTGGGGCAATGATGTGGCAATAATAACGATTTGACAATAATTTGACAATGGTTGAAAGTGAGAACTAGGAAGGTGGTAAAAAGCGGCAAGGAGATGGGTCCATGCAGGATAATTTTAAATAAAACAGTGCCCTCGATATGAAGCTGTCATCCTCTAGAGAATTGGGGGTGTTGCATGTCTCACGGAGAGGTTGCCATAAATAGAGTTAATCAAACTCTGAGTGGAACTCATCATGTACTCGGAAGGAAAGTTAAAAGGGATGGAGCGATGCAATTACGGCATAAAGAGGGGGGGGGGCTGTCCTTCCAATAAAGGAAAAAAAGGGGAGTGAACCGAAAACATGAGGAAATAGAAGGGCGCAAAGAAATAGTAATCGGAACGTTTCCACAGAAGAAAGATGGAAACACCTTTTGACGGGAAAGCTACCCTCTGGGTACCGAAGAAAGAACCGACAGAGGAGCGGCCTTGAGCTCCTCGCGCATCGCTCCACCCCTCAGATATTCACCCGCAAAGGATCACGTCATCCTTTTTGCTCACTGCACATGTGCAGCATTGCGGTTCTTGCTTCCATTCCTAACCCCCTTCCTCGAAACATCTGGGCAGGGAGGGAGGGAGGGAAGGGGGGCGGCGAGGGAGCGTCCTGTTATGCGTGTTTGTCCGCTGGTCTGTCGGGCCTGCTTCCGAGCCCGGCGCGCGGCCCTGGCCGCTCCGTCATGGAGGCAGCGGCGCAGGCGGCAGAAGCGAGGGCCGTTGAAGCAGGCACAGCCGACGGAGCGAGCGCCACGGCGGCGGCGGCGGCGGCGTCCCCTAATCCCTTCTTTTCCCGCCGGACGACTTGAGCCGTCCCGCCTCGCGGGGGCTTCTCCAGCATGAGCGGAGGAGGGGGAGGAAGCGACGGGGGCGGCGGCGGCAGCTCCTCTCCGTCTGCCCCAGGCCGGTTCGCCGACTACTTCGTGATCTGTGGTTTGGACACCGAGACTGGCCTGGAACCGGACGAGCTCTCCGGTGAGTTAACTCAGCCCCGCAGCCGCTGGAAGCGCAGCAGCTTGGACGGACCCCCGGATGCATGGCGTCGTTTGGATGCCTTGGAGGAAGGGAGGAGCGGGGACTACTGTAGATCGTGCTTTTCTCCCTTAGGGCCCGGGCAGATAACGCGCACTTTCTCCCCCCGCACATCCCTTTCCCTCGGTCTCTCTTACGTGGATGGACATACACGCACAGAGAGGGGGGGGAGGGAGAGAAAGAGAGAGAAGAAACACAGAGAAAGAGAGAGAGAAAGAAAACATACACACACACACACACAGGAGAACACACACACACACAGAGACAGACAGAGCGAGAGAGAGGAGAAACACACACAGAAAAGAACACACAGGAGAAACAGAGAGAGAGAGAGGAGAACACACACACACACACACACAGGAGAAACAGAGAGAGGAGAAACACACACACACACACACAGAGGAGAAACAGAGAGAGAGGAGAAACATACACAGAAAAACACACAGGAGAAACAGAGAGAGAGAGAGAGAACACACACACAGAGGAGAAACAGAGAGAGAGGAGAAATACACACACACAGAGAGAGAGAGGAGAAACAGAGGAGAAACACACAGAGAAAAACACACACAGGAGAAACAGAGAGAGGAGAAACACACAGAAAAATACACACACAGAGGAGAAACAGAGAGAGAGAGAGAGAGAGGAGAAACACACAGAAAAACACACAGGAGAAACAGAGAGGGGGGGGAGAACACACACACACACACAGGAGAAACACAGAGAGAGAGGAGAAACACGCAGAGAGGGGGAGAGAGGAGAAACACACACACGCACACACACATACACAGATTAAAACCACACACAAACATAGCCACACCAACGGGAGAAGCTTCAGAAGTGGCTTGTGTGCACTGCGTTGACCCCCGCCAAGGGCGGCCCCATTTAACATAACGGAGCACGAACTTCTTTTGAGCAGCGATCAACCCTCCCTTGGGCTGCCTAAGAGGACAGTGACAGATGGGTGGGGAGTATGGGGACTTTCCCTGCTTGGTGCGGAAAGCGAAGGGTGCTCTCGGGGATGATGCTGAAAACAGCCGCTGCTTTGTTTTGGCCACAATGGGAGTTTATTTTTTTTCCGGTTTTCGTCCTCTTCTTGAGCTATCAGAATTCCATAATAGGTTGCTCCAGTTGGTAGGGCAGAGGCAGCCTTTTAAGATTGTGGCAGTCACCACAGTTGCAACCCTAACCCATACAATACAGGAAACACTTTTCTTGGTTTTTCATTTTTTTTCAAATCCTGTTTTCAGATGAATAGTCTTTGATTTGTGTATTTTTGACTAACATCCATCTCTGTGGAGAGTGATGTTATACTTAAAGATATTAACTTGACACAATTATTTAAAGAAATCAAATTGCATGCAAAAGAGAGAAGTAGAAGTTACAAAAGTATTGCAAAACCTATTAGGACTTTTGGGGCACCTGCCAATACTTTTAATTTTTTTCTATCTTCTGCCCATATTCATGAATAGATGGATAAACTAATCTCCCTGTTGACAGAGTAACACTATGTAGTTAGGAAATGGATTCAGTACATAACCATAATATTTTTTAAAGTAGCATAAAAATTACTGCAAACATATTTTACTTTTGTTTCATTATGTGTGGAATACTTCCTGGATTTAATTACTTTCCATAATATTATATTGTTTAAAGTGAAATATATATACAGGATTGGGAATATAACTTTCCATTCTAATGCAATCAACTTTATATATAATAAGCATTGGTACTGCATTTAATAATCTGTTCTATATTAAAATGATGGGCTTGTAAAATCGTTTACTTTTTATAACCCCAAGATTCCTCAATCAGCATAAAACTAAACTAAAATGTGGTATAAACATATATTATTTAATAAACTAATTAGGCAAGCCATAATGTGGTATTTTAAAAGAACACAGCTATATAGTCAACGTTTCTCCAGTTTGAGGTAGTATGCCATTTACTATCCTATCTGGATTAGGATGTTTTCATCACAATACCACTTTACCTGATTAAATACTGTTCTAGATGGGGCTGCCATTGTAGAGACTATGAAATCTACTTCTGGTACAAAATTTAATAGCTAAAAGAACGTGCTATATAGAATAATGCCTTTAATAAAGTTACAGTGTAGAATATCAGCAGGCTTTTGGACCCAATTTAAAACAGTGATTGCTGATAGTCACACAGAGTTTTTTAGGATTGGTATGGGTTATGAACATTGTTAAATATGTAAACAAATGTAAAGAATCCTAAACCACATAGTTTATTTCAAAAACAGTTTAAGTATTTACTGTTTATAAAACTTGAGCGGAGCTCACCGCCCTGAACATAATTTCACATTCCTGGTTTAACAGTCTTATTTTTATTAGCAGCATACAGTACTGTATAGATTCTGGAAGTATTCTGTTGTTAATGCTATCTGAAGTTCGATATCCTTGCTAATGTACTTCAAATCACCCAGAACTTGTCAAATGAGTACCAATCTGCCTTCATTCTTTGTTCATACTTATGAAGAACTTAAATTACTGTAATTTCTGGAATATTATATGAAATAACACTGCTAGTTCCTTTATGTTAATTTCTTATTCTAAATTATTCTTATATAAAAAAATGTTCATGTTAGCAATATTTTAAATTTTGCTTCCCTTATTAAAATGATATGTATTTTTTATCATCAGGTTCATGCAGTGATATAATTATTTTCAAATTATTTCGATAAAATTCATCTTTGTAAACATGAAAGTCGGGTGTTCTGTTCTTCCTGCACTTTCAAAGATTATATGTAATTATATAATATATCTTTTAAAATGTTTAAAGTATCTAGGAGAACAAAAATCACAAACTGTAAAGACAGCAGTGTGCACGCCAAGCTGAATCACTTAGTATTTTAAAAATGGGGAAATTACAACTTTCTTGCTTCAATACGCTTGAAACATTTGATTGTGAGTATACTGAATTAATTGAATGTGTGCAGTAAGGTCCCATTGGATCTCAAAGCATATGCAGCATTATACTATAGATACTGTAGTTCTGTGAGTTGAAGCTAGTACAATCTGTGTTTTGTGTGTTTTTTTCCTTTTGCATTTACCATTGGCAATTTACCACTGAATAGACATTTAAAATTGTATATCCGTACTGTTAGCACTATCAGGTTAGGGCTTAATGAAAATATAAAATAAGATAGTACCTAGAAAATCTGATTAATTACTTTAACCTGTTTTATTTTATCCAGGGATGTCTTTGTGAAAATTATTAAGGCATAAACTTTCTGTAACCTATCATAGATGAAATATTATTCTAGACACCCTGATCCTCAAATTTAAATATAAGTACCAGAGTGAGATAATAAATGTTTCCTTGCAAATTAATCTTAAATGTAGAAATCCCTGTTTTATTACCCAAGAGTTTTTGTAGTAAACATTATCAGACAAAGTGAGTATTTCTGCAACTTCTGCTTTTAATTTCCTTCTGAATTTCATGTTTAGAAATCTTCTGTTGACTCAACCATGAGTGAATATTCTCAGTGCATTGTAGGCCATAGTAAGAATATCATGTATTTATACAGTGAGGTAGACTGATTGTTTGTTTGTACATAAAGGTAGTTCTTGGGTTATGACAGCAATTATAACACTAATTTACATTGTTAAGCAATGCTGGCCACTTTACTACCATAACTCCAGGACTAAGTAGTTTGATAAGCAAGAAGAAGTGGGAGTCCCAAGCAAAGAGTGCATAGGTGTGTTTAGGTGCTGCAGGGAGTGGGGGTGGCTGGTGCACACAGGTACTATAGAGTGGGAGGGAATTGAAGAATTGAATTGAATAATGTATTTGGCCAAATGTGATTAGATACACAAGGAATTTGTCTCTGATGCAGAAGCTCTAAGTGTACATGCAAAGCAATAGAATAATGATAATCATAATCATATATTCATAATCATAATAATAATAATAATACCAATAAGATAATAGAAGGATAAATAAATATATTTATTTTATAAAGGATGAAGGGTTTGCAAGTGATGTGAGATGATGTCATGTGCAGTAACTTCTGAGAGCAGGCTAAGTAGTGGGAGCCTCAAAAAATGCAGATAGCATTTAGCAATAGCACCGAATGAAAGAGGCCGTTTCGGGGTTGATGCTTAGACTTATATACCACTTCATAGTACTTTACAGCCAGGGGTGGGCTTCAGCCGATTCGTGCTGGTTCAGCTGAACCAGATGTTAATTTTACATCTGGTTCGGTGAACAGATAATTTTGATGACTGTCTGGTCCTGCCCGCCCCTCCCCTCCCAGGAGTCCACGCAGCCCGTTTGGATCGCAGGTAAGTGCAGGGCCCATGCGGAGGCTCGGAGAGGGCGAAGAACAGGCCTCATGGAGGCTCGAGGAAAACCTCCGGAGCCTGAGGAAGGCGAAAATGGGCCTCTTGCGGCCTGTTTTTGCTCCCAGGGTGATGCAGGAGGCCAACCAGGCCATGCCCGCCCAGCAACCGGGCAGAAAACCGGTTGTTAAATTATTTGGAGCCCACCCCTGTTTACAGCCATCTCTAAGTGTTTAACAGAGTCAACATATTGCTCCCAACAATCTGGGGCCTCATTTTACCAACCTCAGAAGGATGGAAGGCTGAATCAACTTTGAGCTGGCCAGGATTGAACTCCTAGCTGTGGGCAGAGTTAGCCTGCATTCTAACTGCTGCACCATCATGGTGAGTCTAACCACAGCTCCATGGCAGATAAGCCAGGGATGTGGGGTACAATGAAATACGAGACCCTAGAGATCTCATATTCCATAATGGAGCTCCCTGGGAGAAAAACCAGCAGGTCAATTTACAGGAAAACTTGCAACCTTCCCTGCTGGTTTCACCATTGACCTTACTTGTGGCAAGCTGGAAGATGTTACAAATGGTGATCATGTGACCATGGCTTGCTGCAAAGTTGCAATCATGAACTGGATATCTGAGCACCCAGATCACAATCACCTAATGTGGGAATTCTGCAATAGCTGCAACTACATACCACTCTAAGTCCCCCCCCCAATTAAGCCCTCTTGAATTTTAAACAGTCACTGATTGAGTGGTCATAACTCAAGGATTTCTAGCATTCCATGATTTCTTGACTGATGATTTCTGAAATTAGCCACAGTTGGTTAGTACAGTTGGTTGGTAAAATGC